TGGACTTGTGGGCTTGGGCAGCACTGGGTTGGGATGTTTTCTTGATGTGCACTTACCCTCTATATAAAACTCTCTCTTATACACGCGTTTCTGTGGATTTGTTTCTCTGATGTACCCAGACTAACACACCTTGCTAACCAGCTCTTTTATTCTGTACCCAACCCAGGTGACTCAGAGGACCGGCGCGGTAGTGTGCAGGACTCTGGGAACCACGGGCCCACCCCACCTGGTGGTGCAGAAGTCAGCGAGGTGCGGTGATGGTGAAATGGTCTTTTCCGGAGCAGTTTTTTTGTCGTAGATCTCAACGCTTTCCTTGCTCAGAGAAAACCCCAAATTCACGGCCAACAAGTCAAGGGTGACTCACAGGGACCCTCTGTGGGTTTCTGAGACTGTAACTTTACAGGAGTAGATAGCCCTGTCTTTCTCCCACGGAGCCGCGAGTGGTTTCAAACTGCCAACCATGTGGATCGCAGCCCAGAACCTAACCACTACACCACCAGTGCTCAGAGAAGTGAGGTCTAAATCTGCATGGTCGTAAACCCCTGGCTGTGGGCAATTGGCAGACCCCAGATTTAGGCTCCTAATCTGTGGCCCCTGTTGGTATGTTGAGGGAAGGGCATTGCAATCAGGCAGTGTACGCTCCCGTTCTTTCAGGGAAACAAGCTCAGACTGGCCCAAGGTGAAGCAGAGACCGACCTCAGGAGGACCTTGCACCTCCAGGGAAAGTGGGAGAATCTGAATTTCAGATTCTGTAGTAGACCAGTCTTCCAATCAGAACAAAAGCAAGACCAGCGTGTGTTTCTTCCCCTCCGGTGCCCCTTAGGCCCGGACGTTTAGAACCTGGAGGATGGCCTTAGGTTGTTTGTAATACAGAGTGCCTGCAGATTCTGGGGAAGCATGGTGCCTCGTGGCGTATTGTTTTTAGTACGTTATCCGATTTGGGGATGTGAAACTACAAGGGTCCCCCCTGAAGCCCAGCCAGGAGCTCCTGTGCACATGGTAACCACGATAACACCCGTCCCTAGCACAGAAGGACCAGAATGACCCCCAGGTTCATCATTCTTTCAAACTCCAGCACTTGCAATTTTGCACACCGCTGCTTGCTCTGCAGAGTAGACTACTCTGGGACACGAGATCCGACCAGAGGCACAAATGTACAGTTGATGCTGAGTGCTTTCAGAAAAGCTACTTGATGCCTGAGGAGCCCCTGGGTGGTGCACGTGGTTACCACACTCAGCTGATACCTGAGACACATTCAGATCAACCCAGAGGTGCTCCCGTAGAAAGGCAGTGAACTTCTGGTCAGTCACCCGCTGTGGGGCACAGCTGCACTCCGATGTGCACAGGGTTGCTATGAGTTAGACTCAAACTCTGGCAACTGGTTGTATTGGTGTCTGACCTTAGTTTTGTCCATCCAGCGGAGGAGAACATTCATTTTTTTAAGTGGGAAGATGGGCTAACGCCAGACACCCGGAAGCCCCTGGCGGAGAGCCGTCCAACTCCCTTTCTTCCACCGCGGTGTCCACGGGAATATGAAGCCCAGCCTGCCTCGGGGAATGATGCACCACAGGGCCACAGTACCAACTTCCAAAGTGGCGCCATCTAGCACTGATCTTTGTAGATCTCCCCTGGATTGGCTACCCTGGAAGTCCCTGAACCCATATGTGCTGTGGGCATCTTACAGAGACGGTGGTTTCCCAGGCCGGTGGGGTGTGCGAACCTGGCTTACTTGCTTTGCATCACAGCAAGCTGTGGCACAACATGCAGGGCATCTGCAGGACCTGAACATGGAACCTTAGCTTAAGGGCTTCCTGCAACCCCGGGTGATTCTTGATTATGGTGATTGAACTTTTTACTGTGAGGTGGGGAAAGGCGTACAGAACACATCGTTTCCGTTCAACAACCCATACACGCTGTGTTTCGTCTCCTTGGGTGCAGCCCCCCTACAATGTGACTTTCTTGATTCTTTATCGCTTCAGGGGACGATCCTTGGACAACCAGCAGAAAACAGGAAGAGTGACCAAGACCAAGAAGCAGAGGAAGAGGAGACAGGCCTGTAAAGCCATGGACACCAGCCGGGAGCCACCTATCCAGCAGAGCTGGGACTAAAGGCCAGAAGGGTGCCTGATGACATTGGGCTAGCGAGGAGATAGGGCTGGGGTGTGGTGTGTGGCCCGGCTCTTAGTCCATCCACCAGGGACAGATCTTAATGCCCAGAGCCATGTTGAGATGCCTGCTCTGGACTCCCCGGTGTTGAGCCTGGGGTCCCGTCTGTCACCTCCCTCTGTGGCCGAGCCAGCCTCTCATCCCTGCGTGCCTTCCCCGTGCTCTGTGAGGGGAGCACAGCTCGTAGGCTCTGTGTGTGCTCCGGTACGAGAACACCGCTAGAGCTCAGGTCACTGTGCTCCCAAGCTCCTCGTTGGCAGTCCCACCGACTTCAGGAGCTCCTGCGTGCAGCCCCACGGGGCTTTATTGCTTACTGCAAAAAGCTCCCCGTTGGCAGTCCCACCGACTTCAGGAGCTCCTGCATGCAGCCCCACGGGGCTTTATTGCTTACTACAAACCCGTGAAGACTACTCTGGGACAATGGGAATGTTTCCCTAAATAGCCTTTATCCCCTGTGTACGTGCGCCTGGACAGATGTAGCACGCCCGCTCTGTGTGTTTCAGAGGCCTCCTCTTTTTAAAATCATTTTATTGGGGGCTTGTACAGTTATTATGACATTCCATGCATCCATCCATTGTGTCAAGCACACATGTACATGTGTTGCCATCATCGTTCTCAAAACATTTCCCTGCTACTTGAGACCTTAATATCAGCTCCTCATTTTCCCCCTCCCTCCCCCCTCCCCTCTCACTCATGAACCCTTCATAATTCATAAATTATTATTCTTTTGTCAGATGTTACACTGTCCAACATCTCCCCCTGCCCTTTTCTTTGCTGTTCATCCCCCAGGGAGGCGGCTATGCGTAGATTCTTGTAATAGGTTCCCCCTTTCCACCCCACATTCCCTCCACCCTCCAGGCATCACCACTCTCACCACTAGTCCTGAAGGGGTCATCTGTCCTGGATTCCCTGTTTCCAGTTGCTATCTGTACCAATGTACATCCTCTGGTCTAGCCAGATTTGTAAGTTAGAATTGGGATCATGATAGTGGGGG